AATTGTCAGTGTTGCGAGAAACAACTACTCCACGGGCTGAATTATGCTCGCAACACCTAGTGCAACAGCTAGGATCGTTCGTCAGTTTAACCCACCACGCACAGACCGGTTTCATACTTATTAGTCCTCATCGGTTATGCGGCCATATCCTCACGACAAGGAACTATTTTCAAATCTCTGCTTAGATTTTTTGCATCGCCATTACTTCCCAAATAATTATTAAAGCCAAAACAGTTATTTTTGATTTGATTATACATAAAGATCTTGAACAGCTCAAATTCAAAGAGGATGAATTAAAATAAAAGAGATGACATGTGGGACTGCCAAAAAAAAAAATTGAGACACGTGGACCTGTGAGGCAAAGTGAGGCAAAATTTATAAAAAGGTGATAAAGGATAAAAATTTTTGACTTTCAGATCCTCAAACTAAAACCTTCAAGCTCTAATTTGCTTTTTTTATTGCTTTATGAACATTTTTCGCCATGATTCAGCTTTGCGAAAATCACCTAAAAATTTAGGATTTTCTTTTTGTTAATTGTAATTGTTAATTTTGTAATTTTTGTGACTAGTATATTGTAATTTGTGATAAGGTAAAAAACAAAAACTAAAAAACGTTGACAAACAAAAAAAGGTGATATTCTGGGTGTTATTATTTGATTAAAATTTAATAAATTTATTGTATTGTAGATTGTATTTAAATTATCTGTATCTAAATTTGTTTATGGATTTATTCTGTGACTATATGTAGCATCTCGCCAATGCCTTCTCTGATAATTAAATACATTATCAAAGATCTGAATCGATTCATCATTAAAGTTAAAATTACGCTATCAGTACTATGGTTGATTCAATTATGATAACCTCTTAAAATTAATACCTGATTTTGAAAACTTCTCTGTATATGCAATTTTTTCAGCGACACGCCATTTCAGACCTCCGATATTGTACCATTTGAGCAGAGTGACTGTAAAAATGAAGAAGAGGATGGATGGGAACATGAGGATGGATCAGAAGTGAAAACCAGACAGGAGTGTAAAGTATTGTACAAATGTGATAAATGCATGTACAAAACTGGAAGTGAGATCCATTTTACGGCACACTTTGCGAGACATGAGAACCATTTGAAAGCATATGAATGTAAATCGTGTCAGTACGAAACTGAAAATAAGAAATTACTTCTGGAGCACCCGTTGGAGCATAAAGGTTCTTCGCAGGTTCAAATGTACAGATGTAACGATTGCGATTTCGAAACTAAATACAAAGAATATATCAAAAGGCATCAACTACTGAAACATAAAGATCCTTCCCAGGTTCAGATGTACAGGTGTAATGACTGCGATTTCGAAACAAAATACAGGAGCTATCTCGAAAAGCATCAACTGAAACATAAAGATCCTTCACAGGTTCAAATGTACAGGTGTTACGATTGCGATTATGAAACTAAATTCAAGAAATATTTCAAACTGCACCAACTAAAACACAAAGATCCTTCGCAGGTTCAAACGTACAAGTGTAATGACTGTGATTACAAAACTGTATGCAAGAGATATTTGACAAAGCACCAACTGAAACATAAAGATCCTTCGCAGGTTCAAATGTACAAGTGTAACGACTGCAATTACCAAACTATATACAATAATGCTTTCAAGCAGCATCAACTGAAACATAAAGATCTTTCGCAGGTTAAAGTGTACAAGTGTAACGACTGCGATTACGAAACTAAATACAACGGTAGTTTCAAACAGCATCAACTGAAACATAAAGACCCTTCCCAGGTTCAAATGTACAAGTGTGGCGACTGCGATTTCGAAACTAGATACAGGAAAAGTATCACAAAGCACCAACTGAAGCATAAAAATCCTTCTCAGGTCCAGACATACAAGTGTAACAACTGCCCCTTCGAAAGTAGATACAAGTATGATCTGCAGCGGCATCAACTGAAACGAATATGCTGCACAAGTTCTAAAGGTACTAGTGCAATGACTACGATTGTGAATCCAAATACAGGAGTGGTATAAAATCAATTGATGCACGACTGAAGTACAGACAAAAATTAGGGCATTTTAGAGACTGACTATAAATATTTGAATTGAAGCAAAATGTAAACATCAACAAGTTTGTTTGTTTGAAAATTTGGGAACTAAAATAATGGCGTCCACGTACCACTTCCGGTTATATCAGAAGTCGCCATCAACTTGCTTATTTTAAATGGAACACCCTGTATGTTTTTCTGTATTGTGATACTCAACTTTATTCTCTTTCGAACGATATCAGAGTTCCCTATACCCATCTCTTCTAGCTTTTAAGTTATCTACTATTTTTTGTGTAATCGCCTAAAATCATGTAATTTCTCGCGAGGATAGCCGTGGAATTTTTAGGAAAACTTCGTTTATTTTTTAATGAAACACCCATTTAAAAAAACCGACTTATGGAGGTTTGAAGTTAACTAAACTCGGCATTAAATTTCTAGCGGGGCAGGCGGTGCGGGAGGAAAGCCTTTGCTTATACACGGTAGTTTCGCTGTAGTACCAACCTTACATAAACGAGCGAACTAATTATAATATGTACGAGTGATATTTATAAATCACATATTAGCTTGCATATATTTTTCGTGTTTAAAGCACAGCAATTAACTTTTTATTTGAACAAAAGTCCATTTATTCATTAAGAGCTTGTAAAGTTATGGATGAAATCTGGCAACATTGCCATGGTGTGGTGGTAAAAGTTGGGTCTACTGTCATTACTGTCAACTGTGCTTTGCGCGTATTCCGTAAACATGAATGAACGTACAAGATACAAAGGAAAAGTAATGACTGAAGAGCAATATAAAATTTTTGTTTCAAATTGCTATTATATTGCATTAGATAACGAAAAATGTATTTAATATTAATTATTACTACATATGTTTTCGACTAGAATAATTATACAGTCTATAATCGAGCTATTCAAATATAGCGCATCAGTCGAAGCATTAAACGTACAGTGTACGTATGCGTACAGTATTGCCATATTTCCTTCCATCGGATCAGATGTTTTTCAAAACGTTATATATTAATTCCATTGTCTCAATAATTACATTGTATGTGCATATTTTTATTGTTTTAAAATGTTTAAAAAATATTTAATTCTTTAATTGCAATTTTATTTTCCCGGGCCTAACCATTTTTAAGAGCAATATTCACGTTTGATCAAAATTTTTTCCCAACTCGCTTAAGAGCCTGTGTAATAGAGGATAATTTTTAATATCATTTTTCAAAAAAACTATTGGCAATCGATCTGATATTTTTACACGAAGCAGTTGGCATATTTATTAACAGATTTCAACGATTTTGAAAACTTTCTTACCATTTTTTTTCGGTATCGAACCTCCTTAAGCCACTTTGAGAGTATGGACGGGAAGCTTAGGGGTCTAGCTATCCCCCCTAAAAATATTATTGCTTTATCTTTCTTAATATAAAACACACATGGTCTGAAGCTAGCCACTGTTTTTTTGAAAAAAATTAAATATCTCGAAAACGGTTAATTTCAGGAATAGGGAAACTTCATAAAACTCCACCTAAAATAACACGTAGAATTAAAAATTTCAATAATATATAGGGTGTTGCAATTAAAAAAAGCAAGTTGATGGCGACTTCCGGTATAACCGGAAGTGGTACGTGGACGCCATTATTTTATTTGAGAAGGGCATGCCCGAAAACCTGGAATCCCAAATTTTAAAAATTCAAATCGAAGTAGTCTCTGAAATAATTCTAATGGGCTGTCACCGTGAGACACCCTGTACGAAATAGGTACATTGCAATATCCGCCTGTTTTGTCCATGTCTAAAAATATATCCCATTTTATTACCAATATTCAGCGTGAATCCTAATCGTGTACATCAATATGTGTATCAAGTAACGAAACAATTTAGTTTGTAGAATATACAGGGTGTTACAAATTTGCTTCTCACTACAGGGATCACGGTAGCGGTAAAAGATACAAACTAGTTTAAATGGGACAATGTTGTGTATTCAGAGGACCAACATTATGCCTCTAAAGAATCAAGGCTAACGTGATTAATTTTCGAAAGAATTGAAAAAAAAAACGAAATTTTGGAAATATGATTTTGTTTCATTTCAGTCTGGTTCGAGGTGATATGGAAAAAGAAGGACACGTTTTGCCCTCTATCCAATGGCATGGTCAATTTTAATATGTAACTTTTCATCTCTCTTGAATTATCACACAATGTAAGTGTCGTTAGACCCTGTGGGAGTTAAGGGAGTGTCAAGTTACTTAAACTATTAGCCCCATCTAAATAAAAAATTTAGATGAAAGAACGAATATACTGAAGATGAATTTTTCAAGACGAAACTTCTGAATCTGGTTCGGGCTGCAGCAGTACAGTATTGGGGGTCATGAAGCCTTGTAAATAATTTAATAAAATTTCCAGAGCCGTATTTAAAAAATGAAGTTGATGATGGTCCTGACAGATGAAACGTCACATATAAAAATTGATTATGCCATTCGATAGAGGGCATAATCATAAAAGTTGCCATGAGAAAGTGTCCTTCTTTTTTCAATATCACCTCGAACGGGGCTGAAATGAAACAATCGAATTTCCAAAATTTCGTTATTCTTCAAATATTTCAATCTCCTGATTACGCAACTTTGCCCATTTAAGCTAGTGCGTATCTCTTACCGTTTCCGAGATCAGTGTAGTGGGAAGCGAATTTGTAACAGCCCGTATAATTAATAGGTTTTTTGCAACAATATTATGAATAAAAGAACCTTTAACTTAATGCTTTTAAATGCTATATAACAATATGTAGAAATATTTACTAATATACTCTTAAAATATTACTTCTTTTGTACTTTGTTTAATTTTCATTGACAAAACCGCATTGTAATCAGCATCAGCATTGTAATTAATCGTTTATATGAAATTTAAAAAGTAATATTTATTTATTACGATAGATATTCTTACACGAAAAAATGACAAAAAATATTTGCTTTAAACATTTTTTTATTGTTTTAAACTAACATATTTAATTTTTCTAACTGTTTCTTCTTAATTTCTATATCTAACTGTAAAGACGTTTTCTGTAACTCGTGTAGTTCTTTGAGCTGGGTCTGTTTTAATGAATATTCTTCACGTTGACATTCCCACTTCATATTCTGATGCATATTTTCTTCTTTAAGAATAGCCAGTTGCAACTTTGTTGCTTTGGCTTTTATTTCCGTCAGTTCTTCAAATTTATGAGCCAATGTTATATTCACGCCAGCAGTTGGTCTTCGACGAGTGCTCCACCCATTATCTTCATTTGGTGAGGTACGTTTTCTCTTGGAAGGAGGTGTCTGAATGTGTTCTGATGTACCTCCATTTATCACATTTTTTAAAATTTCATTTAATGGCTTTTTCATACTGATTAGCTGGTAATGTTGCCAATTATCTCTTGTACTTTCTGCAACCTGTGAACAGTGAAAGTTACAAATTAACTTTATGATTAGCTAACCACAATTTAGACTTACTGTTTCGTCTTCCACTGTTAATATAATTTCTTCCACATTTTCTAATTCTTCCTCCATATCTCTCCCTTCTGTATTTTCTATTTGACCATTATTTTCAATAACCGTAACTGCATCATCAAATTTATTGTGTAATCAATGTAAGCTTTTTTTATTTATTATTGACATGGTTAGGTCATAAGTAGGATCGCTATAAGTGGTTTACTCTACACCCTCCACCTGTTGCATACAAACTTGTGCGTTCCTCTGCAGCTTTTTTTTTTTTTTTTTTGGATTTCATAAAACTTCCTTAAATTATCTACCGTCTGTCTATGAATTGAAGGACAATTTGCATTAAATTCATTTGAAATTCTTATCCTCGTATAATCTTTCTTTCGCCAGGTAACTGCGTCAGTTTTTTTACATTCCAAGATGTGTGAATACTTTTTTAAATATATTTAATAAAAGAATATTCTCTTCTCCGGTAAAATTCGCGGGACGCGCTCTTTTCTCAGACATCGTTTAAAGTAAATAAATGTGCACTTCTGAATCAGGGAAAATTTATAAATAATAATTGTTCAAGCAGAAACACCAACGAATTTAATAAATGAAACCCAACCTCGTTTGTTTTTGTGAAGTAAGGACCACAGTATACTAATCAATCAGTATGGAATCTAGAATGATTTATGAATTATGAATGAACTCCGTATGCCGTATGGCAATTTTTAAATACCCCCACCCTAGGAAAAGTCGCTAAGAATATGGCGGATCCTCCGAGCATATACTACTGGAAGCGTGCCATTGCGAAAATTGTGGCTGGTTGTGCGAAAGAGATAGACAATACCTCAGTATTTGCTGTCTCACTTTAGCACACCGCGATTAGTTGGAAATGAATGCTACAACCAATCGCGGCGTGCTAGAGTGAGACAGCATGTCTAAGATACTGTCCGTCTCTCAGCCACACTTTTCGCAATGGCATGCAACCTCCAATACTATAGTAAACATAACCTGTTCTTTTTCCTGGTTTTAATACTTTTAATTATTATACATTAATTTCTGATTATTGTAATCCAAGGTAATAAATAGACTGTTAGCTATGTAGTAGTGTTACACGTAAATTGAGTTTTTTTTTTATTAAGAGAAGTTTACATTTTTTGGTTAAATACAGGTTTAGTTATTTGAATTCCAGCAGAAATAATTTAGATTAGATTATATCGGTCTGAATTTTATAAATTTTGTTCAAAAACTTACGAAAGCGTATTTATTTTCTAAACATATTTTAAAATGTTTACTATAATTTTTATTTCATTATTAACTATTTACTGGGTATAGTATTACTTATAAATAAATAATCACTAATAAAATACACAAGAACAAGATAACTAAACTAAACAACTACTCGACCAACATCATAAAATAAGGTTTTTAATGCANATTATTTGTAAAAAATTTAAATATTTTTTAAATTTTAATACCCTGTATTTTTTTAACGAAACTTCCTAGATAAAAGCTTTATACGAAAGAGCCCTCTTAAAATTCACTAAAGAATACGAGGTTTCATTTTTGGTCAGTGTTTGCGAATCACCTTACGAATATAATGAGAAGTTATCGTATGCCCCTTTACACCCAATGAACTTATCTTATACCCCTCGTATGTGCAATAATTGCCCTTGAAAGTGTTTCTTACTCCAAACACCGATGGCGTATTCAATGCATTTTTTCATTGAGTTGCCTATCTATTTCTTATATAGTATATCTTATCTATGAATGAAACCCAACCTCGTTTGTTTTTGTGAAGTAAGGACCACAGTATACTAATCAATTAGTATGGAATCTAGAATGATTTATGAATTATGAATGTACTCCGTATGCCGTATAGCAATTTTTAAATACCCCCGCCCTAGGAAAAGTCGCTTAGAATATGGCGGATCCTTCGAGCATATACTACTGGAAGCGTGCCATTGCGAAAATTGTGGCTGGGTGTGCGAAAGAGATAGACAATACCTCAGTATTTGCTGTCTCACTCTAGCACACCGCGATTAGTTGAAATTGAGTGCTACAACCTATCGCGGCGTGCTAGAGTGAGACAGCATGTCTAAGATAATGTCCGTCTCTCAGCCACACTTTTCGCAATGGCATGCAACCTCCAATACAATAGTAAACATAACCTGTTCTTTTTCCTGGTTTTAATACTTTTAATTATTATACATTAATTTCTGATTAATTATTGTAATCCAAGTTAATAAATAGACTGTTAGCTATGTAGTAGTGTAACACGTAAATTGAGTTTTTTTTTTATTAAGAGAAGTTTACATTTTTTGGTTAAATACAGGTTTAGTTATTTGAATTCCAGCAGAAATAATTTAGATTAGATTATATAGGTCCGAATTTTATCAATTTTGTTTAAAATCATACGTGAATAGTGGAAATANTCTCGTGTCAGTATGGAGAGCCGGATCGTCATGTTTCGCCCATCTCTATTCCTAACCGCAACCACAGAGTAGTTTTCTATTCTGGGCCGCAACGCACAACTAGAACTAGATGCCTTGTCAATCTGTCAAAGAAGCAAGAAGGTTAGAACTTTTAGAAGTTACTTTGTATTTTTGTCTTTGCGTTCTATTTTCTGCTTATATTTAAAAGAAGATTGTTGTAGAACAAAGACTGATGTTAAGGAAACGTCGTGTAGGCTTTGCCTTAAAAATATAACCGATGAAAATTTTGAAGTGATAAACAACATTATCAGAGACATTCTAGATGTTTTTTTGCTGAAATTGGTAAGTCGGTGAAATATAATTAGATTGCTGTGTGAAGTTGCATATTTTTCAGAAATTTGATGATGAGAGCAAAGAGGTTTTATGTAACGTTTGCAGAAGAAAGTTAAATACAGCATTAGAATTTAAGTCAACGTGTTTGAATACCGATAACACAATTATTCAATATGTGGATAGCGGAAAAATGTTACAGCTCGAATTAAGAGAAGTGTACACGCAGGAAAAGAAGAGTGAGTTAGTTTGCATTCAGAAAATATGTCGATTGTGTATGCTCCCAGTAGAGAGTGAGTTTAGGTGCATATGTGAAGAGGAACTTGAAGCTATTGAGAAATTGACACCTGAAATGGTATGAACAATATCAATTACTTGCATATTTTATAATTTAACAAAACTGCTTTGTAGAATATAAATATCATCAAAGGTCCCGTTGTATGTAAGCCATGCTGGGATTCTCTGTGTACTCACGACAGTTTCCTAAAAGAGTGCTCAGAGGTAAAAGAAAAAATTAAAAGTATTTTTGATAATTCAGCCACAGAAAGTCGGATAGATACGTCTCCACTCGATTTATTCGTTAAGACTGAAAACTTGGACAAAGAATTCGATATTAACGAGATGGAAATGTCCATCAAAGCTGAAAGTATCGACATAAAATCAGAAGATGAGGAAAGGAGGTAAGAGAAGACTATTGTAACATTAATTTAATAACTAATAATAATTTAATTAACATTATGAGATTATGTCGGTTATGAACGATATCGTACAAATTTTTATGTAATCGTTAAGCGTTAGGTTAACAAATTATTGGGAAAATATGTAAGATCGTTATAAAACAATCGTATGGCTTTGAATCAGATATGGGTACAAAGAATGCTATACAAAATTCCATTCATTCAATCAATTTTTTAACTTTGGGCAGAAATTGAAATTTTCTTGAATGAAAAGGATAGATCTTTTACGGAGTTACAAGATAATTAGTGGTTATTTAAGGAGGCTGCAAGAAGAAAATCAGTTTGGCCTTCAGTCATTTTTACCCTACCCAAAACTAATTTTGAAAGAATTTTGGTAGAAGGTAATCTAATTCAAATAATAAAAATATCTTTAAAAAAAATGTTTGTCAAATCGTCAAAAAATATTTATTTTTTTTTTAATACACAGAAAAAATCTTTGGGTTAATTTAAAAAAAAATCTTATTTTTCTCAGTATTAATAAAGCTCATGAAAACGATTTGTGAGGTATAGAACTCGGTAAGTATGCGAGATGTGAGGAAGGAAATAAAAATTATTTTTTTCCAAAAAAAAATAATTTTCAATATTTAATTTTTTTTTTATGGCAATTTTTGATGAAGAAAGTATATATTTTTGCGAAAAAACGTTTTCAATTAAAAAAAAAAGATTTAAAAATGCAAAATTTATCCTTTAATTTTTGACAATGAAAGAAAAATCGCAGCCGTTGGAAGTCTTGACAGGTTTTAATTGTCAGCGTTGCTAGAAACAACTGCTCCGCGGGCTATATGCCCTGACCGGCACTAAATTATGCTCACAACACCTAGGATCGTTCGTCAGTTTAACCCACCAGGCACAGACCGGTTTCGGACTTATTGGTCCTCATCAGTGTGTCATAGGTGAGACAACAGACAAACGATTCAGCTGTTATGCGGCCCTATATTCACGACAAGGAAACACATTGTAGGCGGAGCCTACAGGTGTTTTGGATTATTTTGAGGTAAAAAAAAACGAAAACCTCTTCAATATCAATCTCAATTTTAACAAAAATTGCAAATTTTGGAATCCAGTTTCTTGCATTGAAAGAAATGAATTTATCAAAAAACAATAAGAAGGTCTTATGGAGGTTAGTCTGAACTTTTCAAATCTCTGCTTAGATTTTCTATTTGATTATACATAAAGGTCTTGAACAGCTCAAATTCAAAGAGGATGAATAAAACTAAAAGAGACGACATGTTGGACTGCCAAAAAAAAAATGAGACCCGTGGACCTGTTGAAAGTGAGGCAAAAATTATAAAAAGGTGATAAAGGATAAAAATTTTTGACTTTCAGATCCTGAAACTGGAACCTTCAAGCTCGAATTTGCTTTTTTTATTGCTTTATGACATTTTTCGCCATGATACAACTTTTCGAAAATCACCTAAAAATTTAGGATTTTCCTTTTGTCCTTTAATTTTTGTGGCTAGTGTATTAAAATTTGTGATAAGGTAAAAAACAAACTAAAAAACGTTGACAAACAAAAAGTTTTATTATTTGATTAAAATTTAATAAATTTATTACATTGTAGATTGTATTTAAATTATCTGTATCTAACTTTGTTTGTGGATTTATTGAGTGACTTTATACATGGCATCTCGCCAATGCCTTCTCTGATAATTAAATACATTATCAAAGATCTGAATCGATTCATCATTAAAATTAAAATTGTGCTATCAGTACTATCGTTGATTCAATTATTGACATAACCTCTTAAAATTAATACCTGATTTTGAAAACTACTCTGTATATGCAATTTTTTCAGCGACACGCCACTTCAGACCTCGATATTGTACCATTCGAGGAGAGTGACTGTAAAAATGAAGAAGAGGATGGATGCAAACATGAGGATGGATCAGAAGTGAAAACCAGACAGGAGCGTAAAGTATTATACAAATGTAATAAATGTATGTACAAAACTGGAAATGAGATCCGTTTTACGGCACACTGTGCGAGACATGAGAACCATTTGAGAGCATATGAATGTAAATCGTGTGGGTACGAAACTGAAAATAAGAAATTACTTCTGAGGCACCCGTTGAAGCATAAAGACCCTTCACAGGTTCAAATGTACCGGTGCAACGATTGTGATTATAAATTTAAATACAGGAGCTATCTCGAAAAGCATCAACTGAAACATAAAGATTCTTCGCAGGTTCAAATGTACAGGTGTATAGACTGCGATTTTGAAACTAAATACAAGAATAATATTAAACTGCATCAAGGGAAACATAAGGATCCTTCACAGGTTCAAATGTACAGGTGTCACGATTGCGATTATGAAACTGGATACAACAGTAATTTCAAAGAGCATCAACTGAAACATAAAGATATTTCGCAGGTTCAAACGTACAGGTGTAATAACTGTAATTACAAAACTGTATCTAGGAGATATTTCACAAAGCACCAACTGAAACATAAAGATCCTTCGCAGATTCAAATGTACAAGTGTAACGACTGCGATTACAAAACTAGATACAAAGGTAATTTCAAACGGCATCAGCTGAAACATAAATACCCTTCACAGGCTCAAACATAAACAGGTGTAATGACTGTGATTTCAAAACTAAATACAAGAATAATATTAAACTGCACCAACTAAAGCATAAAAATCCTTCTCAGGTCCAGACATACAAGTGTAACAACTGCCCCTTCGAAAGTAAATACAGCAGCATTCACTGAAACAAATATGCTGCACGAGTTCTAAAGGTAGTAGTGCAATGACTGCGATTACGAATCCAAATATAGGGGTGGTATAAAATATCACGTGTTTTAGTATAGGAAGCCTTCACTAGTGCGAAGAAGTTTTTGAAGAAACATCAATTGATGCACAATTGAAGTACAAACAAAAATTAGGGCATTTTAGAGACTGACTATAATAATAATAATAATCTTTAATTCGTAAAAACATTAACATTTACAATGACAATGTAAGAGCGAAATGGTGTCACAACAGTTTCCCTAAGTTAGTTTAAACAGTGTTCCAAATATTCAGTTACATTGTAGGGCTCAATATTTAACAAAAATTGTTTAATATGTTTTTTGAATAAATTTGCACTCTGTATCTGTTTAAGTGACGCTGGTAAACAATTGAATAATTTAATACACATGTAATGTGCATTCTTTTCTGTTAGAGTTACTCTGCGATATGGGTACATAACATTCAAATTTCTTGTATTATACTGAGATGATGAGTCTGTCATAAAATTATTCCAGTTTTTCCTTACATACATTAAGCACTCAAAAATATACAGAGCCGATATAGTCATTATTTTGCTATTCCTAAATACCGATCTACAAGATTGGATGTAAGACATATTATTAATAATTCTTATANCGATATGGGTACATTAGATTTAAATTTCTTGTATTATACTGAGATGATGAGTCTGTCATAAAATTATTCCAGTTTTTCCTTACATACATTAAGCATTCAAAAATATACCGAGCCGATATAGTTATTATTTTGCTATTCCTAAATACCGATCTACAAGATTGGATGCAAGACATATTATTGGTAACTCTTATAATTCTTTTTTGAATGACAAAAATTCTCTGTATGTCAGCGCTATTACCCCAAAACATAATTCCATATTTACAAATAGATTCGAAACTACCAAAAGTAAGTGATTTTTGTAGATGTACTATTTACATATTTACTAATTACCCTGATTCCATATATTACTTTACTTAATTTAACAGCGAGTTCATCTATATGTTTTTTCCAATTTAAGTGTTCATCTAGATGCAGTCCTAGAAATTTTGTACTACTTGCTAATTCTGCTATCTGATTGTCCAGTATGATATTGTTAGGTCTGTTTATTTGCCAGTAACTTGATGAAAAAAGTACTAGTTGAGTTTTATCATTATTCATGATGAGACCATTCTTTGAAAGCCAGTCCTTTGTTAATTGTAAAAGTACCTCACTTTGTGTTATGATTTCTGGCATGGTGTCTGCCCCTACCAGTAAATTTGTGTCGTCCACATAATTAATAATTTTCTGATTTGAATTTGTGGGTACTTTTGCTATATCATTTAAATATATAATAAACAATAGTGGACCTATGATACTCCCCTGCGGGATTCCTATATTGATCTTCAATTTTTCGGAGCTAAACACGCCGCCGTTATGATTTATGCATACTTTTTGCTCTCGGTTTGATAAATAGGAGACAATCCATTTCAGAGCCGGACCTCTAATGCCGTATCTTTCTAATTTTACTATGAGAAGGTCATGATTTAAACAATCATAGGCTTTAGCTAAGTCTAAAAACACACCCAAAGCTAGACATTTACTCTCGAAAAAATTAATGATGTCATTTGTAAAATTATAGATAGCTGTATTTATAGATTTACCCTGTCTATAGCCATGCTGACTATGACTGAATAAATTGCAATTATTCATAAAACTTGTAAGCCTACGAACCATTGCTAGTTCAAAAACTTTTGAAAATGCAGGAAGCAAACTGATGGGTCTATAATTCTCCATTAATTCCGGATCACCTTTATTTTTAAAAATTGGTTTAATGATCGACAACTTTAATTGATGAGGCACTATCCCAAATTTGAATGTGTTATTTATTATGTAGGACAAAATTTCCTTCACTGCGCCAAGGCTTTTTTTCATTATATTTGCTGGAATATTATCTTCCCCGCTACTAAATTTGTTTTTTATTTTTGTGGCTAATTCCACAATCTCCGATCCCATGACCGGTGTTAGGAACATAGACTTATTATTAATATCAATAATCGGTTTAAAATCTTTACTTTGATGGTTTGACAATAAATTAGGGATTAAGTCCAATAAAAAGTGATTATAGTCATTAGCTACAGTTTGAGAATTCCCTTTGATAAAGCAATGTTTTTTAGACACCTTTCCTGTTACCTCATTGCAGATAGACCACAAACATTTACTTTTATTATCCGATTCCATTATCCTGTTATCAAAAGAGTTCTTCTTATTTATTCTTAAACATTCATCATACTTTTTTTTAAGATGTTTATATTGTTCCTTAAATAAATATTTGAATTGAAGCAAAATGTAAATTTTTTTTATAGAGGGAACTGCTGAGTCGAGTACTACTGTGGTATTTACACATTGACAGTTGGGTGATTCGGTCATAATGTTATTAATTGTAAGGACAGACAAGAAAAAATAAGTAGAATATGAAAACATAATTAAAAACATTTTAAAATGCATATTTATGTTGAAAAAATACTTTCAAATAATTATTTGAACCTCTCTTGGAATGGCTCCTGCCCGCTGACCCACAAAGGTTTATCGAGACTAAATCTTGGCCTACCGTATTATACGGTCACTAACCTAGTTTTTACTGCGTTTTTAATGCGTAGTAAACGATAAGGAATAAACAGATGTTTTTATCTAGACACATGAGAATAAGATACTTTTTTACATTCTAAATATTAACAAGTATTTATTTGTTAATAAAAACAAATGTATAAGGATAATAATTGTTTTCGAATATTGTTTAGTTTTATGTTCAATTTATTATTCAGTTTGTAGTACTTATACCTAGTGATTCACTGCTATTCAAAGAGTAGTATGGTACCTACCTATTGAAAATGCCAGTATGGGTAAAACAACACTTCATAGCATTCTGTTAATAAAGGTGGGACCCCCTGCACTTTGATTTTGAAAATAATTGCAAAATTCAAGACGACGGGAAATCGGCTGTTTCGCTTCAACGTACATTCGCGCGCCATTATTCCATGGCTAGGAATTGTCCTCAATGATTTGGGATCGAGGGGAATTATCCCTCTTTATCCTGCCCCATTTCGTGTAGACCTGGACAGCCTACACGACCGCAAATACGGCCGGTGTAGGCGCTTTGTGGGACCTCCTTTTAATAGTTTTTTTTTGCAACAATATTAGGAATAAAAGAACTAGAGCAAAACAGTTGTACATTATTTTTTTTATAGAGCGAACTATTGCGTACTACTGTGGTATTTACACATTGAGAGTTTAAGGGTGATTCAGTCATAATGTTATTAATTGTAAGGAAAGAAAAGAAAAAATAAGTAGAATATGAAATCATAATTAAAAACATTTTAAAATGCATGTTTATGCTGAAAAAATACTTTCAAATAATTATTTAAACCCCTTTTCCAAAAGCTTCTCACTGCTGACCCACAAAGGTTTATCGAGAGTGAATCTTGACCTACCACAATATTGGATCAGTAGCCTAGCTTTTAATGCGTTTTTAATCCATAGTGAACTACAACGAATAAACAGATGTTTTTATCTAGACAAGAATGAATAAGATACTTTTTTACACTTTAAATATTAACAAGTATTTATATTTGTCAATAAAAACAAATGTATAAGGATAATTGTTTTCAAATATTGTTTAGTTTTATCCGGCTCATTTTGCTGTTCCGGTTCCTCGTAGTCGTTACACACGACAGCTGTCCTAGGGTACGCGTGCCATGCCATGGGTTGTGTGAATCCCTGGGTGACCACCCCAATGACCCCCTCCCCCTGCCCGCTAACCTTTTCTGTTTCAGAGACAGCCAGGATCAAGAAACCAGGACAACGACACACACACACACATACACACCCCCCATACCCTCCTTACCCCTCCCCTCCCGCGCTAGCCTAAGGGCCACCTTAGCAAAGCGCATCCCAGGCTGCATAGCCGCACTACCCTACCCAACCATACCACACATAAACATGACACTACCCCCGGGGTTTACACAGACGAGCCGGCGAAGCAAGAAGAGCGCCAGAAGAAAGGGCCCTAGCCGGCGGGGCCCAGCCAGGACAAAAGGAGGTCCCACAAAGCGCCTACACCGGCCGCATTTGCGGTCGGGGTAGACGACGGATGGGGCCCACCTACGAAGGCTGTCCAGGCCTACACGAGATGAGGCAGGATAAAGAGGGATAATCCCCCTCGATCCCAAATCATTGAGGCCAATTTCTAGCCATAGAATAATGGCAGTTGTGTGAATACGCCTATCTATATATTTTTTTATTTATGTGACCAGATAGTGGAAATAAGAAATGCTTATTAACATTATTGCGACAATTTCCAGTCGTAACGAGATTTTTAAAATTGATTTCGTGCGTTTATTGAAAATTTTTACCCAATTGATATAAAATATTAATTTATAAAACAAAATGGAAAGTGACAGAAATAATAAAGTTGATCTATTATAATTGAAAATATAAATAAACAGACCTTCCACTATTCGGTCACATCAATAAAAAAAAATAAAGATAGGCGTATTCACACGACCGGTGCCATGGGACGGCTGTCTTGTGGAATGACTGAGAAGGAACGAAGGAACTGAGTCACTCCGGTCACTCGTGTCAGGACGGCGAGCCGGATCGTCAAGTTTCGCCCATCTCTATTCCTAACCACAATCAACAACCAGATGCTCCGCCAATGCAAAATACTAATTAGTTGCCTCTCTTATCTATGATGCCAATAGCGCTAACTGCCAGTCCTAGATAAATGATACTACTGCCTAGTTATCTATTGTCTCTGCTACGCTACTGCCAGTGCAAGGTTAGAAGAAGTGACGGCATTTTGTTTTTGTGTTCTGTTTATATTTAAAAGAAGATTGTTGCGGAGCAATGACTGAAGTTAAGGAAACGTTTTGTAGGCTTTGCCTTAAAAATATAACCGATGAAAGTTTTGAAGTGATAAACGACATTATCAGAGACATTCTAGATGTTCTTTTACTAAAATTGGTAAGTAGGTGAAATATAATAAGATTACATCCTAACAGTCTCAAGTGTAAAGAAACTTTGTATTTTATTTTTCATTGTAATTTTCCGCTAGTTATTTTCCTCCTGTTTAAAGTTGCATATTTTTACAGAAACTTGATGAGAGAAAAGAGGTTATATGTAATTCTTGCAGAAGAAAGTTAAATACAGCATTAGAATTTAAGTCAATGTGTTTGAATACAGATAACACAATTATTCCTTATGTGGATAGCGTAAAAATGTTACAGCTCGACTTAAGAGAAGTGTACACGCAGGAAAAGAAGAGTGAGTTAGTTTGCATTCAGAAAATATGTCGATTGTGTATGCAGCCAGTAGAAAGTGAGTTTAGGTGCATACGTGTAGAGGAACTTGAAGCTATTCAGAAATTGACGCCTGAAATGGTAGGAACAATATTAATTACTTGCATATTTATTTTATAATTTAACAAAACTGCTTTGTAGAATATAAATATCATCAAAGGTCCCATTGTATGTAAGCCATGCTGGGATTCTCTGTGTACTCACAATAGTTTCCTGAAAGATTGCTTAGAGGTAGGGGAAAACATTAAAAGTATTTTTGATAGCTCGGCCACAAGAAGTCAAATAGATACGTCTCCACTTGGTTTATTCGTGAAGACTGAAAACCTGGACAAGGAATTCAATATTAACGAGATGGAAATGTCGATTAAAGCTGAATCTGTTGACATAAAATCGGAAGATGAGGAAAGGAGGTAAGAGAAGACTATTTTAACATTTATATGATTAAATACGTACCATCTGCTGATAAACTAATTGTAACAAATTATGAGATTGTCCGTTATAAACGATATCGTATAAATTTTTATATAATCGTTAAGCGTTAGGTTAACAAATTATTGGGAATATATGTAAGATCGTTATAAAACAATTGTATGGCTTCGAATCATACATGGGTACAAAGAATGCTACACTAAATTCCATTCATTCAATCAATTTTTTAACTTTGGGCAGAAATTGAAATTTTCTTGAATGAAAAGGATAGATCTTTTACGGGGTTACAAAATAATTGGGGGTTATGTAAGCAGATTGCAAGAAGAAAATCAGTGGCCTTCAGTCATTCTTGCCCAAAATTAGTTTTGAAAGAATTTTGGAGGAAAGTATTGATTTAATTCAAATAATAAAAATATCTTGAAAAAATGCTCGTCAGACAAAAAATATTTATTTATTTTTTTTGGAATATACAGAAAAGATCTTTGGGTTAGTTTAAAAATACTGTTTTTCTTGGTAATAAAGCTCATGAAAACGATGTGTGAGCTATAGAACTCGGTAAGTATCCGAGATTTGAGGAAGGAGATACAGCGACTTTTAGATTGACGTTTGCACTCAAAAGAAAGCACATCTTTTTTTTTTTTCATCTCATTTTTTGATGAAGAAAATATATAGGTTTTTGCGAAACAAATTTTCAATATAGAAAAAATGATTTAAAGATGCAAAATTTATTTTTTAATTGACAATTCACGATGAAAGAAAAATCGCAGCCGTTTGAACTCTTGACAGGTTTTAATTGTCAGTGTTGCGAGAAACAACTACTCCACGGGCTATATGCCCTGACCGGCACTGAATTATGCTCGCAACACCTAGTGCAACAGCTAGGATCGTTTCGGACTTACTAGTCCTCATCAGTGTGTCATAAGGTGAGACAACCAACGAACCATCCAGCTGTTATGTGGCATATCCTCACGACAAGGAAACACATTGTACGTGGAGCATACAGGTTTTCTGTATTATTTTGAGGTAAAAAAAAGGACACCTCTTCAATATCAATTTCGGGTTTAACAAAAATCCCCAAAGCAGCAAATTTTGGAATCAAGTTTCTTGCATGGAAAAAAATAAATTTATCAAAAAACGATAAGAACGTCTTATGGAGGATAGTCTGAACTTTTCAAAACTGCTTAGATTTTCTGTACGGTCATTACTTCCTAAATAATTAATTATCAAAGCCATACATATAAAGGTCTTGAACTGCACAAATCACAGAGGATGAATTAAACTAAAAGAGACGACATGTGGGACTGCCAAAAAAAAATATTAAGACGCGTGGACCTGTTGAAAGTGAGGCAAAAATTATAAAAAAATGATCTCCCGGGATTTCTTTTCATTTCTAAAAGTTGATATAGGATAAAAATTTTTGACTTTCAGATCCTGATACTAGAACNTGCCGCATTCTGTACTGAGAGCTTGGATCGTTAGGAGCTTCTGCATGTATTTGATATTTGATTTTATTGAAATTTTCCTAATAATACAACAATACACCACAAAATAAATTTATGGAAGGTGCAGAGTTGGGTCGTACTCTTTTTCTTCCACAAAAGGGGACAAAATCATCCGCTTTAAAGTGTTCAGAACAAATTACGTTATTTTTTGTCCATACCCAATTTTCTTTTTCCATAGAAAGAACTTTTAGCCATTCCTGTAAAGTTTCATTTCTAGGAAAGCTAGAAATAAAAAAATTACATGTTTACAATAAAATTTTAGAATAAAAAGTGGAAATATCTTATTTTTGTGTACAGCTACCTAAATATATAGAAATGTTCTGTACTTACACATGAAAACTGATGTTTTGCATTGGACATCTTCTGCAATTTGCGCTTCCTTTCACAGCACAAAGCACAAGACATATTTAAAGTTCAATAAAAACGAAATTTACAAACAAAAATATGAATAACCTCAAAAAACACACCTGCGAACCTAACGTCAACAACAACTGCGTCACTGCGTGACNTATTGGACATCTTCTGCAATTTGCGCTTCCTTTCACAGCACAAAGCACAAGACATATTTAAAGTTCAATAAAAACGAAATTTACAAACAAAAATATGAATAACCTCAAAGAACACACCTGCGAATCTAAAGCCAACAACAACTGCGTCACTGCGTGACGTAAAGCCTTCAAAATGGCTGCACCCGTAGCGTCCCTAGAAAAGTTGATGCGCACTCGTCGAAGCTCATTCTCCCCTACTCTATATCTCTGGATAAGAAGCAAGAAGGTTAGAAGTGACGAGTGGCTTTGTGCTTTGTATTTTTGTCTCTGCGTTCTATTTTCTGTTTATATTCAAAAGAAAATTGTTGCAGAACAATGACTGATGTTAAGGAAACGTCGTGTAGGCTCTGCCTTAAAAATATAACTGATGGAACTTTTGAAGTGATAAACAACATTATCAGAGACATTCTAGATGTTCTTTTACTGAAATTGGTAAGTCAGTGAAATATAATTAGATGGCTGTCTGCAGTTGTATATTTTTCAGAAATTTAATGATGACAGCAAAGAAGTCTTATGTACCATTTGCAGAAGAAAGTTAAATGCAGCTTTAGAATTTAAGTCAATGTGTTTGAATACTGATAACAAAATTATTCAATATGTGGATAGCGAAAAAATGCTACAGCTCCAATTAAGAGAAGTGTACATGCAGGAAAAGAAAAGTGAGTTAGTCTGCAGTCAGAAAATATGTCGATTGTGTATGCGCCCAGTAGAGAGTGAGTTTAGGTGCATGCGTGAAGAGGAATTCGAAGCTATTGAGAAATTGATACCTGAAATGGTATGAACGATATTAAATATTTGCATATTTTATAATTTAACAAAATTGCTTTGTAGTATATAAATATCATCAAAGATCCCGTTGTTTGTAAGCCATGCTTCGATTCTCTGTGTACTCACAACAGTTTCCTAAAAGATTGCTCAGAGGTAGAAGAAAAAATTAAAAGTATATTTGATAATTCAGCCACAGAAAGTCAGATAGATACCTCTCCACTCGATTCATTCGTTAAGACTGAAAACTTGGACAAAGAATTTGATATTAAAGAGATGGAAATGTCAATCAAAACTGAAAGTATCGACATAAAATCGGAAGATGAGGAAAGAAGGTAAGAGAAGACTATTGTAACATTAATTTAAAACATGGCAACCTGCGGTTGTGACACTGTGATTTATATGATCACATGTATATACTATCCGGTAATAAACTAATTGTACTTTAACATTATGAGATTATGTCGGTTATGAATGATATCGTACAAATTTTTATATAAACATTAAGCCTTAGGTTAACAAATTATTGGGAAAATATGTAAAATCGTTATAAAACAATCAGTATGGCTTCGAGTCAGATATGGGTACAAAGAATGCTATACTAAATTCCATTTATTCAATAAACTTGCAGAAATTGAAATTTTCTTGAATGAAAAGGACAGATCTTTTACCGAGTTACAGTTTGCAAGAAGAAAATTAGTCATTCTTACTCAAAATTAATTTTGAAAGAATTTTGGGAGAAGGTACTGATCTAATTTAAATTATAAAAATATCTTTTGAAAAAATGCTTGTCAAATCGTCAAAAAATATTTATTTTTTTTATAATAACAAAAGATCTTTGGGTTAGTTTAAAAAAATACTGTTTTTCTCAGTTTTTAAGCTCATGAAAACGATTCGTGAGCTATAGAACTCAGTAAGTATCGAGATTTGAGGAAGGAAATATTAATTTTTTTCCAGAAAAAAAAATTTCAATTGTTTCTTTTTTTCATGACAATTTTGATGAAGAAAATATGTATTTTTGCGAAAAAATATTTTCAATTAAAATGATTTAAAAATGCAAAATTTATCCTTTAATTGATTTTTGACCATGAAAGAAAAATTGCACCCGTTTGAAGTCTTGACAGGTTTTAATTGTCAGTGTTGCAAGAAACAACTACTCTGCGGGCTATATGCCCTGACCGGCACTGAATTATGCTCGCAACACCTAGTGCAACAGCTAAGATCGTTCGTCAGTTTAACTAACCAGGCATAGACCGGTTTCAGACTTATTAGTCCTCATCAGTGTGTCATAGGTGAGACAACCGACGAACGATTCAGCTGTTATGCGGCCGTATCCTCGCGACAAGGAAATACATTGTACACGGAGCGTACAGGTTTTTTGGGTTATTTTGAGGTAAAAAAAAAACAATACTTCTTGAATATCAATCTCAATTTTAACAAACATCCTCAAATAAGCAAATTTTGGAATCAAATTTCTTGCATTGAAAGAAATGAATTTATCAAAAAACTATAAAAAGGTCTTATGGAGGATAGTCTGAACTTTTCAAATATCTGCTTAGATTTTCTGTACGGCCACTACTTCCCAAATAATTAATTATCAAAGCCAAAACAGTTATTGTTGATTTGATTATACATAAAGATCTTGAACAGCTCAAATCAAAGAGGATGAATAAAACTAAAAGAGACGACATGTGGGACTGCCAAAAAAAAAGTTGTGACCTGTGGACCTGTTGAAAGTGAGGCAAAAATTATAAAAAGGTGATAAAGGATAAAAATTTTTGACTTTCAGATCCTGAAACTAGAACCTTCAAGCTCTAATTTACTTTTTTTTATTGCTTTATGAACATTTTTCGCCATGATACAGCTTTTCGAAAATCACCTAAAAATTTAGGATTTTCTTTTTGTCCTTTAATTTTTGTGACTAGTATATTGAAATTTGTGATAAGGTAAAAAACAAAAACTAAAAAACGTTGACAAACAAAAAAGGTGATATAGTGGGTGTTATTATTTGATTAAAATTTAGTAAATTTATTATATTGTAGATTGTATTTAAATTATCTGTATCTAAATTTGTTTATGGATTTATTGTGTGACTTTATACATAGCATCTCGCCAATGCCTTTTCTGATAATTAAATACATTATCAAAGATCTGAATGGATTCATTATGTTAAAATTGTGCTATCAGTACTATCGTTGATTATGGTCAAATACCTCTTAAAATTAATACCTGATTTTGAAAACTACTCTGTATATGCATTTTTTTCAGCGACACGCCACTTCAAACCTACGATATTGTACCATTCGAGGAGAGTGACTGTAAAAATGAAGTAGAGGATGGATGTAAACATGAGGATGGATCAGAAGTGACAACCAGACATTTGTGTAAAGTATTGTACAAATGTGATAAATGTATGTACAAAACTGGAAATGAGATACGTTTTACGGCACACTGTGTGAGACATGAGAAGGATTTGGAAGCATATGAATGTGAATCGTGTGAGTACAAAACTGAAAATAAGAAATTACTTCTGAAGCACCCGTTGAGGCATAAAGATTCTTTGCAAATTCAAATGTACAGATGTAACGATTGCGATTATGAAACTATATACAAGAGTTATTTCAAACAGCATCAACTGAAACATAAATATCCTTCACAGGTTCAGATGTACAGGTGTAACGATTGCGATTACGAAGCTAGATACACTAGTCATTTCAAACGCCATCAACTGAAACATAAAGATCCTTCAGAGGTTCAGATGTACAGGTGTCGCGATTGCGATTATGAAACTAAATACAAGAGTCATTTCAAAGAGCATCAACTGAAACATAAAGATATTTCGCAGGTTCAAACGTACAGGTGTAATGACTGTATTTATAAAACTGTATCCAAGAGATATTTCACAAAGCACCAACTGAAACATAAAGATCCTTCGCAGATTCAAATGTACAAGTGTAACGACTGCGATTTCAAAACTAAATACAACGGTAATTTCAAACGGCATCAGCTGCAACATAAATACCCTTCACAGGCTCAAACATACAGGTGTAACGACTGCGATTTCAAAACTAAATACAACGATAATTTCAAAACGCATCAACTGAAACATAAAGATCCTTCCCAGGTTCAAACGTACATTTGTAATGACTGTAATTACAAAACTGTATCCAAGAGATATTTCACAAAGCACCAACTGAAACATAGAGATCCTTCGCAGATTCAAATGTACAGGTGTCACGACTGCAATTTCGAAACTAAATACAATGGTAATTTCAAACAGCATCAACTGAAACATAAAGATCCTTCACAGGTTCAGATGTACAGGTGTAACGACTGCGACTACGAAACTAAATACAATGGTAATTTCAAACAGCATCAACTGAAACATAAAGATCCTTCACAGGTTCAAATGTACAGGTGTCACGACTGCGATTTCGAAACTAAATACAACGGTTATTTCAAACGGCATCAACTGAAACATAAAGATCCTTCACAGGTTCAAATATACAGGTGTAACAATTGCGATTATGAAACTAAATTCAAGAGTTATTTGAAACAGCATCAACTGAAACATAAAGATCCCTCGCAGATTCAAATGTACGGGTGTGGTGACTGCGATTACAAAACTAGATACAGGAGATGTTTTATACACCACCAACTGAAGCATAAAAATCCTTCTTAGGTCGAGGTGCATCTGCAGCGGCATCAACTGGAACAAATATGCTGCGCAAGTTCTAAAAATACTAGTGCAATGACTGCGATTACGAACCCAAATATAGGAGTGGTAGAAAATATCAGGTGTTGAAGTACAGAAAGCCTTCACTAGTGCAAAGAAGTTTTTGAAGAACCATCAACTGATGTACGATTGAGGTACAGACAAAAATTAGGGCATTTTAGAGTCTGACTATAAATATCTGAATTGAAGCAAAATGTAAACATCAACAAGTTTTCATGCGCTTCTGTAACCAGGTGTATTAATACAGGGTGTCTCACGGTGACGGCCCATTAGAATTATTTCAGAGACTACTTCGATTTGAATTTTGAAAATTTGGGATCCCAGGTTTTCGGGCATGCCCTTCTCAACTAAAATAATGGCGTCCACGTACCACTTCCGGTTATACCGGAAGTCGCCATCAACTTGCTTATTTTAAATGGAACACCCTATATATTATTGCAATTTTGGATTCTACGTGTTATTTTAGGTGGACTTTTATGAAGTTTCCCTATTCCTAAAATTAATCGTTTTCGAGATATTCAATTTTTTTGAAAAAAATGGAGAGAAACAGTGACTAGCTTCAGGCCATGTGTATTTTATAGCAAGAAATATAAAGCAACAATATTTATTGGGGGTATAGCTAGAACCCTAAGCTTTTTGATAGTTCGGCCACAGGAAGTCAAATAGATAAGTGTCCACTTGGTTTATTCGTTAAGGCTGAAAACCTGGACAAGGAATTCGATATTAACGAGATGGAAATGTCGATTAAAGTTGAATCTGTCGACATAAAATCGGAAGATGAGGAAAGGAGGTAAGAGAAGACTATTTTAACATTAATTTAAAAATTGACAGCCGGTGGTTCTGACATTTCGTAATTTATATGATTAAATACGTACCATCTGGTGATAAAACTAATTGCCTAACCGGCACTGAATTATGCTCGCAACACCTAGTGCAACAGCTAGGATCGTTCGTGAGTTTAACCCACCAGGCACAGACAGGTTTCAGACTTATTAGTCCTCATCAGTTATGCGGCCGTATCCTCACGACAAGAAAATACATTGTACAAGGAGCGTACAGGTTTTTTTAATTATTTTGAGGTTAAAAAAAACGAAAATCTCTTCAATATCAATCTCAATTTTAACAAAATTCCTCAATTAAGCAAATTTTGGAATCTAGTTTCTTGCATTGAAAGAAATAAATTTATCAAAAAATGATAAGGTCTTATGGAGGATAGTCTGAACTTTTCAAATCTCTGCTTAGGTTTTCTATACGGCCACTACTTCTCAAATAATTAATTATCAAAGCCAAAACAGTTATTTTTGATTTGATTATACATAAAGATCTTGAACCACTCAAATGAAAGAGGATGAATTATGCTAAAAGGGATGACTGCCGAAAAAAAAATTGAGACCCGTGGACCTGTTGAAAGTGAGGCAAAAATTATAAAAAGTGATTAAGGATAAAAATTTTTGACTTTCAGATCCTGAAACTAGAACCTTCAAGCTCTAATTTGCTTTTTTTATTGCTTTATGAACATTTTTCGCCATAATACAGCTTTTCCAAAATCACCTAAAAATTTAGGATTTTCTTTTTGTCCTTTAATTTTTGTGGCTAATGTATTAAAATTTGTGATAAGGTAAAAAATCAAACTAAAAAACGTTGACAAACAAAAAAAGGTGATATACTGGGTGTTATTATTTGATTAAAATTTATGGATTTATTGTGTGACTTTATACATAGCATCTCGCCAATGCCTTCTCCGATAATTAAATACATTATCAAAGATCTGAATCGATTCATCATTAAAGTTAAAATTGTGCTGTCAGTACTATGGTTGATTCAATTATGGTCATAACCTCTTAAAATTAATACCTGATTTTGAAAACTACTCTGTATATGCAATTTTTTCAGCGACATGCCACTTCAGACCTCCGATATTGTACCTTTCGAGGAGAGTGACTGTAAAAATGAAGAAGAGGATGGTTGTAAACATGAGAATGGATCAGCAGTGAAAACCAGACAGGAGCGCAAAGTATTGTCAAATGTGATAAATGTATCTACAAAACTGAAAGTGAGATCCGTTTTACGGCACACTGTGCGAGACATGAGAAGAATTTGAGAGCATATGGATGTGAATCGTGTGAGTACGAAACTGAAAATAAGAAATTACTTCAGAAGCACTTATTAAGCCATAAAGATCCTTCACAGGTTCAAATGTACAGGTGTAACGATTGCGATTATAAAACTAAATACAAGTATAATATCAAACGACACTAAAAGAAACATAAAGACCCTTCACAGTTTCAAATGTACAAGTGTAACGACTGCGATTTCGAAACTAAATACAGCAGCTATCTCGAAAAGCATCAACTGAAACATAAAGATCCTTCACAGGTTCAAATGTACCGGTGTAATGACTGCGATTTTGAAACATAAATACAAGAATAATATTAAACTGCATCAAGGGAAACATAAAAATCCTTCACAGGTTCAAATGTACAGGTGTCACGATTGCGATTATGAAACTGGATACAAGAGTAATTTCAAACAGCATCAACTGAAACATAAAGATCCTTCACAGGTTCAAATGTACAGGTGTGGCGACTGCGATTACAAAACTAGATATAGGAGATGTATCATACAGCACCAACTGAAGCATAAAAATCTTTCTCAGGTCCAGACATACAAGTGTAACAACTGCCCCTTCGAAAGTAAATACAGCAGCATTCACTGAAACAAATATGCTGCACGAGTTCTAAAGGTAGTAGTGCAATGACTGCGATTACGTATCCAAATATAGGAGTGGTATAAAATATCACGTGTTTTAGTATAGAAAGCCTTCACTAGTGCGAAGAAGTTTTTGAAGAACATCAATTGATGCACAATTGAAGTACAAACAAAAATTAGGGCATTTTAGAGACTGATTATAAATATTTGAATTGAAGCAAAATGTAAACATCNAACAACTGCCCCTTCGAAAGTAAATACAGCAGCATTCACTGAAACAAATATGCTGCACGAGTTCTAAAGGTAGTAGTGCAATGACTGCGATTACGTATCCAAATATAGGAGTGGTATAAAATATCACGTGTTTTAGTATAGAAAGCCTTCACTAGTGCGAAGAAGTTTTTGAAGAACATCAATTGATGCACAATTGAAGTACAAACAAAAATTAGGGCATTTTAGAGACTGATTATAAATATTTGAATTGAAGCAAAATGTAAACATCTTACATGCGTTTCTGTAACCAGGTTGTCTCACGGTGATGGCCCATTAGAATTATTTCAGAGACTACTTCGATTTGAATTTTGAAAATTTGGGATCCCCGGTTTTCAGGCATGCCCTTCTCAACTAAAATAATGGCGTCCACGTACCACTTCTGGTTATGCCAGAAATCACCATCAACTTGCTTATTTTAAATGGAACACCCTATGTGTTATTGCAATTTTGGATTTTACATGTTATTTTAGGTGGACTTTTATGAAGTTTCCCTATTCCTAAAATTAACCGTTTTCGAGATATTGAATTTTTTTCAAAAAAATGGAGAGAAACAGTGACTAGCTTCAGGCCATGTGTATTTTATAGCAAGAAAGATAAAGCAACAATATTTATTGGGGGTATAGCTAGAACCCTAAGCTTCCCATCCATACTTTCAAAGTGACTTAATTGCATACAGGGTGCTAGAAATTTAATGCCGAGTTTAGTTAACTTCAAACCTTCATAAGTCGGTTTTTATAAATGGAATGCCCTATATGTTTTTCTATATTCTGATANAGACCCCTAAGCTTCCCATCCATACTTTCAAAGTGACTTAATTGCATACAGGGTGCTAGAAATTTAATGCCGAGTTTAGTTAACTTCAAACCTTCATAAGTCGGTTTTTATAAATGGAATGCCCTATATGTTTTTCTATATTCTGATACACATTTTTATTCTCTTTCGAACGGTATCAGGGTTCCCTCTACGTATCTTTTCTAGTTTTTAAGTTATCTACTATTTTTTGTGTAATCACCTAAAATCATGTAATTTTTCGCGAGGATAGCTGTGGAATTTTTAGGAAAAGTATCGGTTTTTTTTAAATGGAACACCCATTTAAAAAACTGACAACTTTTGAAGTTAACTAAACTCGGCATTAAATTTCTAGCACCCTGTATGCAATTAAGCCACTTTGAAAGTATGGATGGGAAGCTTAGGGGTCTAGCTATCCCCCCCATAAATATTGTTGCTTTATCTTTCATATTATAAAATACACATGGTTTGANGAAGTTAACTAAACTCGGCATTAAATTTCTAGCACCCTGTATGCAATTAAGCCACTTTGAAAGTATGGATGGGAAGCTTAGGGGTCTAGCTATCCCCCCCATAAATATTGTTGCTTTATCTTTCATATTATAAAATACACATGGTTTGAAGCTAGTCACTGTTTCTCTCCCTTTTTCGAAAAAAATTAAATATCTCGAAAACGGTTAATTTTAGGAATAGGGAAACTTCAGAATCCAAAATTGCAATAATATATAGGGTGTTCCATTTAAAATAAGCAAGTTGATGGCGACTTCCGGTATAACCGGAAGTGGTACGTGGACGCCATTATTTCAGTTGAGAAGGNAGGAATAGGGAAACTTCAGAATCCAAAATTGCAATAATATATAGGGTGTTCCATTTAAAATAAGCAAGTTGATGGCGACTTCCGGTATAACCGGAAGTGGTACGTGGACGCCATTATTTCAGTTGAGAAGGGCATGTCTGAAAACCCGCGGTCCCAAATTTTCAAAATTCATATCGAACTAGTCCCTGAAATAATTTTAATGGGCCGTCACAGTAATATGCTCCTGTTTCGTCCATGTCTGGAAATATATTCTATTTTATTACCAATATTCAGAGCGAATCCTAATCGTGTACATCAATATAAACAAGTAATGGTTGACAGAAAATTATGTATTGGATGGGAAAGGTATTCAGTATATGAGGATTTGGATGTGCCAAGATGTTTTAACTGCCGGGGTTTTTATCATAAAAAGCAAGATTGTCGTAACAAATTAACATGCCCAAGGTGTAGTGAAGAGCATGAGGCAAATATTTGCCCTAAAGTGAAATTGTGTTGTAAAAACTGTGTTATTTCTAATGAAAAATTTAATACAAATTATAATGTTGAACATGCTGCCTCAGACCTGTCATGTGCCAGTTTAGAATTCCAAAAGTTGCTGTTACAAAGTAAAACGGACTATTCATTGGTATAATGGTACTACTCAATGAAGATTTAATTTTGCAAGAACTCGAATGCGTCGGAGGAAATCGCATGGGAAGATATGTTGGTATTAATGACAGTAAGGTACTGTTTGAAACAAATGCTGTTCTTAGGGTCTTTCATCTTAATATTCGNAGTGTTAATTTTAATATACTGTAATTGTTTTATCTGTTTTCTAAAAGTAGGCCTAACACCTATGATACAACGTTAAATAAGATTTAACAAGTATTATTTTTTTATACTTAGGTTCCTACATGATTGACGTGTAAAAGTTATGTATGTGTATGTGTTTTAAAGTTAGCCACATTAAACATTAAACATTAAACAATATGTGTTTCAAATAATGATACAATTTACTTTGTAGAATATACAGGGTGTTACAAATTTGCTTCTCACTAGGGATCTCGGAGACGATAAGAAATACAAACTAGCTTAAATGGGGGCAAGTTGCGTAATCAGGGGACCAACATTATGCCTCTAAAAAATCAAGGGTAACATGATTAATTTTCGAAATAATTACGCAACTTTGCCCCCATTTAAGCTAGTTCGTATCTCTTATCGTTTCCGAGATCACTGTAATGGGAAGCGAATTTGTAACAGCCTGTATAATTAATAGCTTTTTTGCAACAATATTAGGAATAAAAGAACTAAAGCAAAATGGATGTGCATTATTTTTTTATAGAGGGAACTGTTGAGTACTGCTGTGGTATTTACATATTTACATGAAAATAAGTAGAATATGAGCACAAAACATTTTAAAATGCATGTTTATGCTGCAAAATATACTTTAAAATAATTATTTAAACTCCTTTTCGAACGGCTTCTGACCGCTGACCCACAAAGGTTTATCAAGATTGAATCTTGACCTACCACAATATTGGGTCAGTACACTAGCATTTAATGCGTTTTTAATCTGTAGTGAACTACAACAAATAAACATGTTCTTATCTAGACACGTGAATGAATAAGATACTTTTTTACATTCTAAATATTAACAAGTATTTATTTGTTCATAAAAACAAATTTATAAGGATAATTGTTTTCGAATGTTAGGTTATTACAATTTAGTATTTTTAATATTGTTAACGTTTTCACTATGTTTTATAATTGAATATGAGTCTTTAGCTCACTTCTCTTCAGAGTAGTATGGTATCTACGTATTTAGAATGCCAGTACGGGTAAAACAACACTTATCTATCCATAGCACTCTGTTAATAAAGCTGGGATTCGCTGAACTTTGATTTTGAAACCAATTGCAAAATTCAAGACTAAGAAAATCAGCTGTTTCGCTTCAACGTTCGTTCGAACGGTACATGGTCTGCTGGCTCGTTTCTGGTCAAAATGCGTGCTGCGAAGTGGGGCGCCGAATTAACAGGAGTTAAGGGGTCGAGTAAAATTGTTTTTCGGTTTTGTTTTTATTAGGCCTTCCGAATACGCGGTTGAAATTAACGACACTGAATCACCCTGTATAGACGTTTAAATTGTAACTAAGAAATCCGGCTCATTTTGCTGATTCCGGTTCCTCGTAGTCATTACACACAGCAGTCCCATGGTACGCGTGCCATGCGTGGGTCGTGTGAATACGCCTATCTATTGTAGGGAGCTGTATCTGGGAACGCACACTATATTTTTCTCTAAAACTTTATTTTTCCATAAAGGCATAAATCTTAACGCTTCTTTTTCGTACGTAACAACACATAACCTCTCTTTTTCCTAACTAACAATAAGCCTAAGATCAAGGATTTTATACAAGAAGATTGCTCGATCCCATTTAAGCCTATGTTCGCCAAATAAAATGTCAAACGCTCGAATACGTGACGTCACTACGTTCAGCGTTGCCACAGCTCGCTCAATCGAGCGAGATCTCGCCCTTTTTATTTCGAATACACTCTCGCTCATCTTTGTCAAATCTCGCTCGTTTTACTTACTTAAAGTTTGGATACTTTGGTATAGATGGCAAAGGCAATTTTATAACGATCCGAGGGCTCTATAGCAAATAGGCAACCAGCAATACATTTTATAGATTTTATTACACAGTTTGCCTAAATATGAATTAATGCACAAATAACAAACTTTCCCCAATTTTAACGCAAATTTTCTATAAAATAGACTTAGTTTGAAACTCAAATTACATTTTGGTGTAAAGAAATTTGTAACTTACGATGCTGCTTGTTCAAAAGCGTCAAATTACAAATTTCTTTACAACAAAAAGTAATTTGAGTTTCAAACTAACTCCATTTTATAGAAAATCTGCGATAGAACGGAGGAAAGTCTGTTATTTGTGCATTAATTCATATTTAAACAATCTGTGTAATAAAATCTATAAAAATGTATTGCTGATTGCCTATTTGCTATAGAGCCCTCTTAACTTGGTTGCCTCAAAGAAATAGAGAGGATTCATTGCCTAACCTGCCTTAGATACCGATCGACACTACCGACAGTCGGGTCCACAGATTACTGAACTACTGGTCGGGTCGGAAAGTCGAAACATTTATCGAATGGCCAGATAATAACAAGAGTTAAATTTTTAATTTCTTCAGTCTATATTTAAATTTAAAATTAATAAAAACCTACTAAAACAACCTATGGAATTGTACCTATAATCTAGTGAAGTTTGGCTATTCTATTTTTGTAGTATAGATATAGACCATACTTTTAAAGTTTACGTAGTTGCCTTACCGTCAAAACTAAATTATCTTTATTGTAATTTTATTCAGACATTTTAATTTCTGACTAACGTAAGTTAATGTAGAGATATTGATTGATTTATTTCAACATAAAAAAATTTCACTCTTTTAAATATAATCTCGCTCGCTTTTGATAGGACCGCTCGCTCGAAAAAATATAGGTCTGTGGCAACACTGACTACGTTACCACCGTTCTATGTTTACATATGTAAAACGGCTCATTTTCCTTACTTTCTGTGTGGTTTTTGTGGATTATTGTTCGTTTAGAGGATTTATCGTTACTGTTATTATTAATTGACGTTATATAAGTAGTTTGTTGTTAGTTCTTGTTAACTTATTAATATAGTTCATTATAATTGTGTTATTGTTTGTGTTTGTGGTAGTTTAGTGTTCAGAGACTTTAAAGCCTGTAGTAGAGTTTTAATTTTGCTCAAAAGGTAATAAATTTAATATATTTTTTTAGGCATGTATATAAATACTTAAATTTCTTAATCTTAAGGTTAATCTTTAATTAAAAAAAAGATGCCTGGTCTTCGATGTGCAGTTTATGGCTGCAATAACAGTTTTGTTGGGGTAAAAGCCAAAGGGGAAGATATCAAATTTTTTCCATTTCCAAAATCTAATAATTTAGTTTCACAAACAATTTACAAAGATTGGATAAATCGTTGTAAGAGGCAGGACAGTTTTAATCCGAATCATAGCCGAATATGTTCTATTCATTTTACCAGTAATGATTTTGAGAGAGACCTGAAGAATGAACTTTTAGGTTAGTACATATAACAAGTATTATAGTACTGGGTTTCTTTTGATTTAATGAAAATTACTTAAGTAATGTGTTTTTAGGATTACCTACAAAAAAAATGTTAAAGAAAATGGCTGTTCCCACGATGCATTTGCCACTTCAGAGTAAAGAAATTTGTGCTTCATCCAGAGAGAAGAGACTATTAATCCGTGAAAAAAAAAGCAGTTGTGCAAGAAATTTTAAAACAGAGCAACACAGAAAATATACCTGAAACTGCAGTTCCTTCTACTTCTGAAACTAATCTGGAGTTTAGTGTACTTCCTTCTTTTGATATGTCGGTGTGCTCTTCAACATGTACAGATTATGAGAATTTGTACAAAGAGCTTTCTGTGAAATATAATACTCTAATTTCAAGGTATGCAGAACTTAAACGTTCTAGTGCAAGCAGAATAAAAGCGTTAAATGATCAACTGAGATATTATAAAGATAGGTAAACAATGCTGTGCTCTGATTACAAAATCAAAAAAACCAGATCCCTCAACAGCTCTATTAAAAAAAGTTTTAACAGATAATCAATTCGCTTTACTTACAAAAAAGAAGAAGAGGGTTAATTGGACAAGAGAGGAAATTTCTGTAGCATTAAATAAGTTAATTAATTAGTATTTTGTGTAATCTGTAATGTAACAACATTAAATTGTCTTTTTTCTTGTGTACCTACCTACTGTGTAAGTTGTATATGTATATAGTTTAATTTTTTAATGGTTAGTATAAAAAACTGATTCGAGACCGCAAATGTAATTTCTCGTATTGATTTTTTAGTACAAATATGCCTATCTATTGTATTTCATATTATTTTGTGAATGCAAATTGAAATAAAAAATTAGTAAGGTATATCAGTTTTTTTTCTGGACCTCGTTAAAAATTTTCAAAAGTATGCGCTCTGCTTAAAATTACTTGCCGACCCCTGGTTTAAGTGCTTAATTCAACTGTAATAACTTTTTTAGAAGTGCATAGTGCTATTTTAATAGAACTTCACAATTTACTACCCTAAAATATATAAATCGAACAATAAACAAAGAAGTAAATTTTAGCCTCACGCAGCGCTCCCATAGATATAAGCCATGCTAACTGTAGGTCCTGCTCGTGAAAGAATATGCTATTTTACCGAGTGCGATTTTATCCTTTCCAATAATTAATATTTTTCCTATCAATTTTGAATATTTATCCTTACTAATAACTCATAGGTTGTACGAGCAGCGATATTCAAAAGGTAGGTATGTGTATTGTAATTCAAACAAAAGTAGTAAAACGACAATCTTTGTATATTATATTTTTGGTAACTTTTTTAACTCCGTTCCCTATTCTTTATTATATCTAAAAAATATATTTCTAAATAAACGGCTACAATATTTCTCTAATCGCTGTGCAAATTAAACCACATAAATATTCTAATATTGTAGG